TACTCTGTTCTACAGTTATTCGTGGGAAGTTCTATTTTTATATGTAGCTTCTTACTTATAATTATGGTATCCAATTTGAATTCGGAAAAAACTGGTTTAAAAACATGTAGGAGTGAAGCGTGTATAAGGGAATGTTGGGATTTTAAGATTGTTTGGGAGCAAACACATTGAAAAATGATATAGGCCAGGAGCATAGTGGGTGAGTTAGGTGTGTCTTAGTTTTGATGTGCGCAATTCTGTGATAGGATTGAGTATACTTAGACTTTCGCATGTAAGAAATACTTATAGGAATTTTTTTTGGTGTGGGTTTCATTTCATAGATATAGATGAAGGAACTAGTCGTAATTAGTATTTATGACGATGTGTTTTTGTGCATATGTGTAATATTTCAAGACATAAGTCATTTGATAATTTTTATGTAGCAATATTACACCAATGATAAAGAATATTGAATATCTGGATCTGTTTTTTGTATTTTGTTTTAAAATAAGATATATCATCGAAGAATATACGGTTTCACCTCTTAATTTGTTATGGTTTAAACTTTATAAATATTTAAGAACTGATTCTTTTACGTTTTACTAGTGCTTGAATTCCTGTCATTTTCTTGTGCTTGTATAAAGGATTAATATTTTCGATATTTATTTTCGTGTTGCTTATAATTATCTGTTAGATATGTGAAGTTATGAAAATTCACTATGGAGTGGTTCGGTTATTTCATATCTTTCGTCAATGATGGTCTTGTCTTAGCTTTGGTTTGGTCGTATTTCCTAGCGATTTTTTGTTCGAGGCGATGTCCTTGTTTTTTATCATGAGTGGTTTAGTATGGAAGGTACGCAGTTATTTGCTTTGTACTTGTGTCCTAGGCTTATTCTTCAGATATCTTTTTAGTCCGGTGGATATGATGCATACTTTTGTCTATATTTTTCTGTTGTGACGTGATGTGGAAGATTTGCTCAGTTAGAAAAACACTATAGATTTCTAACGTTTGAGCTAAAGATTATGTAGCACATTTTAGTGTGCCAACAGGATACAATTAATATTTGAAGGAATTAATACAATATGAAGTTTATGAAGTAGATTAAGTAGTGGATATATTATGAAATATGCCTTCTTTTGTATTATGGTGAGTGGAGTCTTTATTTAGATGGTTTATTAAGAGCTTTTCTGTTTATTTTATATGGTATGTGTTGGTAGTATTTTGTATGTTATATTAAGTTGAGAGAAAATTACAAAATCAAATGGCAGTTCTGAGGGGTAGACGCTGGCTGGGTTACAGCTGCTGGGATTCTTGCTCATGTAGAAGGCTGTTGTGATTATGTAGACCGTGAAGTGTTTGTGGGTACCATTTGTGAAAGTTATGAAAAAAGTAAATTATCTGCGGTTTTGAAATCACTAGAAACTATAAGGTTTTGTTGCGTTTTTTTCTTATATCATGCCTGTATAGTATATTCAATACATTGTTTATAATTGGAGGTTAATTGGATTTGGTTTTCTCCGATGTGTGCTTAATGGTTCTTTCAAGATTAGTTATGCCCTAAAAAACAGTCCTTTGTCAGTTGAAAGTTGAATGCGCGTGTATTTTACAATCATAAATTGAAGTTATACTCGGTGATTTTTGTTATTACAAGCCAGTGGCATAACATGTCTGTTGTTACTAATTATCATGGATAATATGTGAAGGTGATTCATCCTATTCAGACCGCATAGCTAATTGAACCCGCAAATATTTACAAACAGTATGGACGATTTAAATAAGAGTTGTTATATATTAATATTGTCTTTAACTATTTCAGTAGTGTGAGTATTTTATTTTAACTTTTTAATTTTTATGATTCTGAGCGGTATATTATAATACTTAAAATTAAATATAGTAAATATTTTGCATGGAATTTATTATACCTATTACAACGTGACATTTGATTGTTCTAGTAAATTGACAGGCTTCGGGTGATGATTAAATCTAAGGCCTAGCCATATAGGATCAAGTAAGCTAATTTGTTTGTAATAATTACCTATTAAATAAATAAAATATAATATTGAGGATATATATTATTTTCTTAATGAAATCTTTTCCTTTAAGACAAATCTTCAAGTAAGGTCAAGATCAATTTTTTGAAAATATGAGTAGTTTTCGTGTATTTTTGCGCAAAATCCAGGGAATTGTTAAAAAATTGTTTTTTTCAAAAGCCGATCCAAACCTTTTTATTAAATTTCCTCCTCGTATGTAATAACGGCTGTTAAATAATGTTTTGCTAGTTCCATTTTCGGCTAATTGCAAAAAGTTAACATTTAAAAACTACAAAATTGAGATAAAGATTTTTGCTTCATACAACGCTTGTTGTATAAAAAAATAAAAATTGTAGATGACTTTTTGTTTAAGAAAGTCATCTACAATTTTTTGAAAAAATGATTAGTTTTCACGTAATTTGCGCTTGAAATTTATGGAATTTCTAGAAAAGTTTGCCTCAAATCAATTTTTTCTTATTATTATAAAACCATATTTTACTCTTCTACAGTATTCGTGAAGTCATAATGCACTTCGACTATAAGGTATCCAAGAAATTGACAAAACGTGAAAAAATGAGATGAAGGCGTTAAAGGATGGGAAGAGTGTGGGACAAACTGAAAAATAGGCCAGAGCTAAGTAGTACGTGGCAGTTTGAGCCAATCTGTAGGATTACTACTTCTCATGAAGAAAATTAGATATTTGGTGGTATTTCAAGAATAGGTGAGGAAACAGTCCGAATAGTATTGTTACATGTGTGAATATTGTGTAATCAACAAGCAGAAAATGAATATTACACCAATGATAAAAATATTGAATATCTGATCTATTTTGATGTTAAAATTAAGAAATCAACACAAAACGTTCACTCTTAATGTTATTGGTAAAACTTTATAAATGATTTAAGACTGATTCAACGTTTATCTAGGTGCTTGGAATTCCTACATTTTGGCTTGAAAAAAAATATTATTCCAAATGATTTCTGTTCTTATATACGTAGAACTGAATGAGAAAAACAAGAGAGGCATCGTATTCCAATTGTTATCGTCAATGATGTCTTGCTACATGGTCGTATTCCACGATTGTCCACAGCATTACAGGAGTATAATACCAGTTATTCTTTTACTTTGTCCATTATTCTTCAGATATCTTTGTAATAAAGGAATGATTCAATACTTTGTCATATTTCTTACGTGAATGAGTCTCCAGAAAAAAACACTGGAAAGTTACAACTTAGCTAAGAAGTACACATTTGGTGCCAACAGATAAAAGTAATAATGTGAAGGAAAATAAAAGAAATGAAGAAGAATATATATTATGGAAATGCTTCTTTTGGTGTATTGAGATCTATTTATGGTTATTAACTTTTCTTATTTTATGGTATTTTATATTTTGAATAAATGGAGAAAAATTACAAACAAATTGCATTTGAGTAGGACCTGCGTGGTCGCTGCTGGGATCTGCAATTGCTGTTTGTGAATGAACGTGAAGGTAATTTGAAAGGTTGAAAAAAGTAATTATCTGCGTTTTTGAAATCACTAGAAACATAGTTTTGTTGCTTGTTTTTCTTAACATGCCTGTATTATATTTCAATACATAGTTAATGGAGTTAATTGGATTTGGTTTCTCAGTGCTTAATGTGCTTCCAGATGCCTAAATAACAGTCCTTTGCTCAGTGAAAGTTAATGCAGTGTATTTTACAACAAATGAAGTTAACTGGTGTATTACAGCAGTGGAACAGTCTGTACAACAGATAATTGAAGGGATCAGAGCCACAAGCAACAAACCCAAAATTACAACAAACTGAGTAAATAAGAGTTGAAGTTAAAATGATCCTGACACTAATGAGTATTTTATTTTAAATTTTATTTTTATTGATCTACACTTATTAAATACAAAAAATATAATGAAATTATACCAACAATACATGATTTCAAATAAAGCTTAATAATAAACAATAAGAAGTTTAGTATTATTTGGCGTTCACGAAAATCAGAAACGACACATATTCAAGTGGTTAGTCATGTATATTGAGATAAAATATTCAACATTGTTAAAGTTTATAATAAAACTTCTTACGTACGGCAAAGTTTTATCATAACCCATCTGAGGATCTTGATCGTCGTATTTCTTTTCAGTTGATGTTCTCTTCAGGATGGGATGGGAAACCCTGACTCTAGCATTTTGGTCACCTTTTAAGTTTTGGTAGAATGAGTGTAATACTGGAGAAATTTACTTAAGCAACGTTATAATATCATTGATCTTTGCAATTGATAATTTTCCTCCTGTAGGGTACAGTTTCGGTAACTTAATATTGCCAAATGCTTTCTGTGTTCCATGATGCTTTCTGATGACATCGACTATAATAAAAAGTATGTCTTTTGAAAGGGTACAAGGGTATTTAACTGTATCGAATTCTGTTTCTCCAGTCTAATCCAATTAATTTTTTGCCACTCAACTTTAGTTGCATCACTGATTACTTTGGGGTTGATGACATCTTCTTCGAAAGCCATTGTTATTGTGGATTAGTCACGTTTCCCTCTAAAATAATTCAGATTTCCAAGAAGTTCCAAAACACATTCACAGATGATATCAGTATACCATATATTAGTATATCAGTATTACCATATAAGAAATATGGTAACTTTTTCCACATATAAAACTGAAAATTCTGTATCAGGATACATCGGTGGGTTGCCTTTGGTTCTGAGCCCCTCAATTCAGAAACAAAATTGGTGTGATAAGGTAATTATTGTTTCGTGAATAACGATGCACTTGTCTACAAAGCATCATTTAATTTCTACGCCATTCGCCTCTCGATCTCAATCCTGCAATCTTGATAGTTGAATTTTCTCGCCAAATCCAGAGCACTGTAACCGTTGTTAGTTCGTATGGTTGCGTCCGCGCCGCCCTCCAGCAGCGCGACGACGCACTCTCTTTCCCCTTCCCTTGCGGCTAAATGGTGAGCAGTTTAACCAAATAGGTTCTTAACGTTAATTTGGGCACCGGCATCCAGCAGCGTGACGACGCATTCTTTGTTCCCGTTCCCTGCGGCTTCATGCAGAGGAGTTTGGTCACTTTTGTCTTTAACGTTTACTTGGGCACCGGCCTCTAGCAGCGCGACGACGCACTCTCTTTCCCCTTCCCTTGCGGCTAAATGGAGAGCAGTTTGGTCGTCTTTGTTCTTAACGTTCACTTGGGCACCGGCCTCCAGCAGCGTGCGCACGCACGAGGGGTGGCCTTTAGAAGCTGCTTTGAGCAATGCAGTATTTACGAAAAGGTCAGTAACATTGGCGCTGACGCCCAGTTGTAAAATCGCGTGCAGAGCTTCTTGGCGACCGTCCGCCGCTGAAGCAACTAACGCCTCCCTCCCTGCTTCCCCCAGCACCACGTCACGGGCCGCGTCCACCAACATCCACACCACCTCCGCGCTAGCAGCCATTCGCAGGGAGCGGCCTATCTCGTCCCTGTCGGATTCTTGGACCGCTTCCAGCAAAAGTTCAAGAATATCCACGTGTGAGTCTTTAGAAGCAACAAACAATGGAGACTCATCCACATTGTTTTTCCTTGTTGGCGAAGCTCCTTTTGTCAATAGCAATTGCACGAAATCATTTTTCTGATTTTCTACTGCCACCAATAAGGGAGTTTCTCCATTAACATCAGATGTGTTTACATTGGCCCCTCTCTCCACAAGACATGGCACTAATTCTGCGTTTCCTTGCTTGGTGGCGCTCAGGAGAGGGGTCTCGCCGTCTCGGCCGGCCGCGTTCACGTCGGCGCCCTTCTCCAAGAGGCAAGTTACGATGGCGGTTCTACCGAGTTCTATTTTGGTGAATCGCTCGTCCACGGCCGTCGTGTGGCCTTCTAGGTGACGCTTTTCAGATTCGTTCACCTCCATTGATATCTGCAGACAGGGGGACACAAAAACTTATTAGTATTAGTGCTTCAAATGTAAATATCATCTGTGATTTTTTAGTGTATTTTACAATTTTCTTTTATCATTTGGCCTCAGGTTGTTCAATGCATAATAATTACTAAGTTTCTTTCTCATTATTATAAAGGTAAATAAGACCAGTAAGAGATGTTTTAGAACCAAGTATTAAAATGGAATTAATCTGTCGTTGTAGATGGTGGATTCGTGTACATACAAATTGTAGTGACAAAACGCCCTGAAAGGAATAATGAAAATCAGTGCATGTCCTCCTGCTTCTAAAAATTACGTTAATACACTGAACAAAAAATAGGGGTCTGTATTGGAGATAAGTTATAGAAAACACTATAAATTCATCCTTTGTTTTAAAGAACGCAACACAAGTATGACTTTGTTCGTGTTCAGTTCCTTGGGTAGCAGCGTTCTTGAATAAGTTTCTGTTAAGGGAACCGCGCTGAAGACAAAGTAAATTTGACCGTTTAGTTTAATTGGATATGAGCTCCGGCAATGGAAAGGAATTTTTCAAGAACTTTCGAGTGAGAAATAAAATAGTGTATACAATGAAGATAGAAGAGTTCGTAAGATTGAGTAATCGTCCAAGGATTCTATTCTGACAATAGAAAGGAAAGTGAAATTCGGAAAAGATTGGACTTTCTAAATCTTGTTAAAAGAGAATATGTTAGTAAATGGCCATTAAAATCGGGTTTGAAATTTATTAATAAAGCACAGATCTGACCATGAAAGAGATGAATGGTTGTTCTTTGTAAATGTAGCGTGTATTTAATTACTTCTTCTTTATTGTTCAATATTTTTTGTAAATGTTAATACTTTTGTGGGTCCATGACAACTCGAAAATATTTCATCAAAGAATATACAGCAAGGGTATTGTCGTAAATTGCAGAAAAAATTGAAGTTACTCTTAGTTTTTTAATAATATTTAGAATATGTCTCAATCGGACTCTAAATCAGGAGATGTGGCTCAGTGCATCAACTCATGTCACTGCAGTGCCTCTGACCGAGGGATCCTAGGTTCGACTCCCGACTGCGGCAGGATTTTCGGCACCAACTTGTCAGTTACGTCGAATTCAGTTGCTGCCTGGAGAAGAAATATAGAGTCTGGCTGCTCTGATCGATAGTTTTTCTTCAGTTCTCCAATCAACACCAGGCGAATGCCGGAGCAGTATCATAACAAATGCGCCCCGGACCACCCGTGATCTTTTCTTCCTCTTCCTTGCCCCATTCTCACCTTTTACTCACTCACACTCACATGCACTACACTATCACACATGCCGGGAGACCGGTCGGGGACGTACAGCTCGTCCCGGCTGGAGCGGTGCCTAGCTGGTGAGAGATACCTGGTTGGGGAAAACCCCGGTAATCGACGGTAGGTCGGCGCCTGATCTCGCCATCCAGCAGGCAAGTTCGCCGCCACATCTCGATGAAAAACATGCACCACACTTACGGGACTAATCACCTCATTAGATGATGCGCCCGGAATCACTAACACTTAATCAATTGGTCAAAAAATTCTCCATAGTAAAAATTCTATCAGCCGAAAACTCGTAACGAGAGTTGATTTTGCGTGCCCACTATATTAATTAATTAGATAAAATTGAGATAGTACATGATAAATGAGTTTATTAAAATTTGTTTTTATTGTAAATAAATCTGAGCTAGCCAGTGTTACTAGGAAAATAGATCTAAAATAACAAACAATAAATTGTTAGTTTAATATTTCTTATAAAACGATTAGAGAGAAATAATAATTTATTTCAGTATATACTAATACGTTGACACAAAATTTTATTGAAGTCATTTTTTGTGAAACTGTGCCATTTCAAAGTTGATGTAAGATAACTCTGAATGAAGTGAAAGCTGTGTTGTCATTGTGTTATCGCTCCTATGGAGCAGTGGTAGCGATTTCACGTTGTTAACCCGTGCCTTCTATTGCTCCGTCTTCATTCAACGGTAACCTCCACATCCATCCGCCATCATTGTTATCTCCACCTTTAGATTTATTTAGAAATTGTGATAAACCTTCATCCCAAGGCAAAGAGAAAGGGATATGGATTAGTAAGAAAAGGAACAACGACGAGTAAGGCAGTAGAAGCAAGAGGATAGAAATAAAAGGAAAAAAAGGAATCGTAAGGGGAGAAAGTAAAAGATTTGAATGCAATAAGTGATAAATGAGATCTGTAGTGGTTGTTAGAAATTGTGTGGCAATGAATGAGCCACGAAAAATTTATTGTTGTGCGTAAATATTTTAATGGTAAAAGTATGAAATCAACACCTTGAATATAATAAATACTTTATAGTTTTTATTCGTTAGGTGTTAACCTTTTTAAAGAGTGTGTGTGACGTGCTATGGGGAAAGTTAAAGTGAAGTTACTTTATGTCCAGAAACAAATCAAAGGGGCCATCTCAGCATTTGCTAAAGAATAAGAGAAAATGGACGAAAAACTGATAAAGATGAGGGTCATAGACCCAGAAGCTAAAGTACAATTCTTGTTATATGTTTTTTAGAATTATATAATCCAAATGGTAAATAATACATTACATTCCACCCCTCCAAAAAAAAACATTTCCATTAACACTTAAGTAATTGCGTGGTGACTATAAGCGTCCCAAAATTATTTGTATTGACTACTAAATAAAATAGTACAGCTGTATTCGTCACGAATTAACAGTACCTTCCAATAGTTAGCTTACCTTTCCTTAAAGCAAAAAAAAATTGTTGTACGGGTGAATGTGATTAAAACGGAATACGTTCTTTGCAGAGTGGAACTTCTGCATTCGCGCGTGCGTCCATATTAATCGATGATATTACATAAAATTGGATTTCAATTTGGTTTATGTATGTGTTTAGTAATTAACCTTTTGAAGCAATTATTTACAGACAATTTATTCTTCGTATTCTTGCTACAACGATTCGAACCCCATGATTTTAGATTATTCTTTTCCCGTAATCAATCAACTTGGTTAAAATGTCATATAGATATGTTGGATATATCGGTTGTCTATCTGAAACTGTGATTGACGGTGTATCCACCTCACCACAGCGTACTACAGACTAAGTCGTTGGTTCAAAAGGTTAATAAAATTGGATTATTGCGTCTCTTAAGAACAATAAAAGGTTAGGGAAAACAATACTTAAAAGAATTAGTATTACTAAGTAGTAATTGAAAAATAATGTTTTGTAGTATATATCATCAGCAAAGCAATATATAGTAATCAATTAAAAATGTTTTGTCCAAAATTACAATATTTATGCGTTTTAAGTCATTACATCGACAGATTAGATGCAAATTTGTACGTGTGTCGCAATGTTTGATAAAAGAGTTCTCCGCGAGAAAAGTTATGGAAACCTCTGGAATAATATAATGAGTGTTGTAACCTCAATCTAGGAGGTTCTAGAGTTCGTATCCCGACGGTGGCACAATTTTGAAAAGTAGCTAAATAGCTGGGTCGAGTTAAGCCGCTGTCTAGAGGATGATTCTACCGACCGCCTACTCTGATAGGTAGTTTTCCGTCCTTTCAACACCAGGCCAAGGCCGGAGCAGTCAATAACAAACGGGCCACAGACCGCACGCGATCTTTCCTTCTTCTTCTTTGTCCTGTTGTTACCCCTTACTTACACACTTAAACTTACATGCATTACATTTAACACACAGTTCGGCAGCTTAGTGCTTGTCCCGACTGAGGCGGTGCCCTCTTGGTGGGAGATACCTGGTTGGGTAGCTGCTAGCGGACGGTAGGTTGGCACCGGATTCCCTCATACAGTGGGAAAAGATCAGCGCCATCTCACGCGATAGAAAATACACCAAACTTACGGGGCTAATAACCTTAGTCGAGGCGCCCGAAAACTCTAATTGATAAACTTCGAGTCATTATGGAAATGTTCCAGCAACAATGAAACTTAACACTTAGTTTATTGTAGATGTAAGACTTGGAATTTCGAGGCAGGTTTTAGCAATTTACAAAAGTGGCTGTCTTGGCGACAGTGAAAACGTGGAAAAACGAACAAAAAGTTGCAAAGCATTTAAAATTCTTGACTGCAGTAGGCAGAAAGTAGAATGCGCTTTGTGTGTTCGAAATGTTACCAAATCCAGGATTATGGCTAGGTCCCGGAACTTCATGCATTTTCATATATTCTTCCGGTCTATTAAACTGTATGATTTTATAATATTTATACCTAGTACTCATTGTTGCTTCAATTTTATATCGTTTTGTGCAGCAAGGAATTTCATATTCTTGCCATTTTACTTTCTTGTATACGTATGTATATATGGGGTAATATTCATAGTATAGAGAAACATATGTAATGCTGCGGAAAATCAAGTTTTGTCAAATACTATTTGTAAATATTACCGCAAATGTGAATTTTTTGTATTTTATCGCATATGAATTTGCAAATGTTTTTCATTGTTGAAGAATTTTTTATTAACAATTGTGTGTGTTTGTTTCGAATAAGGTGAACACAGAAGCAAAATTTCGAAATAATTTTATTTAATAACGTCAACAATCTATATTGTTTTCAAATGATATTCCACAATGTGGTATAAGTGTCGACATAGTGCACTACTTACGTAAAGACTTTATTTCAAGTACATTAGTTGGAATTGTTTAATTTCTGAAGTGGGTACGTGTAATCTTTTTGGTTCCAAACGAAAATGTCGCAATTCGTATCGTACCTACGTCAATATTCAAATTGACGAAAGAAAATCCGCTAAAAGGTAAATGATTGAGAAATGTAAGAAGACAACGATAGGGATACACAGTGAATTATTAAGCAATATTACTTTGCATTCATCATTTTAAATCATTGGGAGATAAAATTATTATCTAAACCTGCATAAGACTGATTTTTTTCCGGTATCTTCCGGCAACTAGAAAACTGAAGATAGAGATGTTTCCTAAAATTGGAATTTGTTCTCCAGAAATTGTTCTTTCATTATTGACAGTTACAT